CCACGGTGGGTCCCAAGTCCCAACCCAGCACGTGGCCCCTCACGTCCTGCCAAGAGCCGCCCTGAAGACTGGCCCCCCTCCCAGGGCTGGTTCAGGAATCGGGGTGCAGGCAGATGTCACACCTCAGGGTGGGGTGTGGCTGGGGCTGGGAAACTGCACTGGAGACGCGTGTCCCCAAACACGTGACAAGAAAGCCCAGCCCTGAATTCCTGCAAGAAAACAGACAGCTGGGTGGGCCCAGGGACAGCTGGGGAGTTCCCAGGGACAGCTGGGTGGGCCCCCCGGAGACGTGAAGGTCTCTGGGACAGCTGGGTGTTTCCCAGGGACAGCCGGCTGCTCCTAGGAATAGCTGATTGTCTCGGGACAGCTGACGGTCCCCGGGACAGCGACAGGCCAGCAGACCGGCCTCCTGAGCAGTAGCACACGTTCTTCACAGAGAAACGCTTTTCAGGGCGAGGGCAGGCCGAGGGGCGCCCACCCCACCCCGCCCTCCCAGCCTCCTGCCTGTCCCGAGGTGTCACGGAGAAGCGTGCAGAGCGCGTCTGCTGTGAAGACTCTGCACCGGGCCGGGGTTTGGGGGACACACTCGGCGATGCTCAGGGCTTCCCCGGCTCTGCGCCCAGAGATCAAGAGATCACGCCTGATGGGGCTCAGGGAACCCTCTAGGGGGCGCCAGGGATGGAACCCGGGTCAGTTGCTCATGATATTTATTGCCAGGACTTGAAAGGCAGTTTGTGAAAGGAAAGTGTCATGTACTTTGTGAAATATCCATTACGTGATCGAGGCCTGAAAGAACACACATTCACACACTCTCTCATACACAACACACACACACTTTCACACACAACACAGTCACACACTCACACATCACACACAACAGTCACCCGCCCACAAGCACACAACAGTCACACACTCACAAGTCACACACTCTCACAGTCACACTCACAAGTCACACACTCACATTCACACACAACAGTCACCCACCCACAAACACACAACAGTCACACTCTCACAAGTCACACTCTCATAATCACATAATCACACACTCAACACACACACAAGTCTCATAGAGTTACTCACACTCGTAGACACAACAGTCTTACAACAAAGCCACACACTCTTACAACAGTCACACATACAACACATTCATACAGTCACACACATACACACTTACACACAACAATCACACACTTGCTCATGCACAACAGTCACAGTCACATACTTACACAGTCTCACAAACATGACTACAGACACAATCACTCCACACATACACATTCTTACGTATTCAAATACCCTTGCACACACACATATACACACATACATCCACACATACTTATACTTATGTACACACACAGTCTCATGCACACACACACACACACACACACACACATTCCCTCTCCCTCTCTCTCTGTGGCTCCATCCAGTGACCTTCCAGAAACTAAACTCTGCGGGCAGGTGACTCACCAGTCTGGAGGAACTGCCCTTCTCTTGCTGACAGGGAGATGCTGAGGCAGCGGTGTGGGGGGATGGCAGGACCAGAGGGGGCTCCCCAGGTCAGCTTGTGGGCCCTGCTCCTGCCCACAGCTGGGGGCAGGACTGAGTTTGGGGGCAGCCTTCCCTGAGTCCCCGCAGGAAAGGAGCCGGGCTTCCTGCGGGCCGGCCCATGGGGGACCTGGGGAGGCAGCTTGGCTGGGCCCACTCGCGCCCACGGAGCCAGTTTCCTGAGGCACCACCCAAGAACCCACCGTGCCCTGAGCCTGGCCGTCCTCCAGGTGCCTGTCCGAGGCTGCCCCACACTCAGGGTGCCCCGAGGGGACCATCCAGGGGCCCCGGGGCCCTCAGACACTCCCACCTGCCTGCGGCTTCTGTTGGCGGCTGGGTGGGTCCGAGCTCACCCCGTCAGGGGCCTTGGGCTGCGCTTCCTACAGCCTCCGGCCACCCCAGGGGCTGCCCCTCCCAGCGCACCCCAAATGACCACTCACACCAGCCACTGAAGACAGCACGTTTATTCCCGTGACCAGCTCTGGCAGGTGTCCCTCACGCACAGGAACAGCCACCCTCAGTGACCCCTGGTCACCCTGCTGGATCTTGCCTCCGAAATGGGGCCCAGAGGTTGCCCCCAGTTTCAGAAGCGTCTTGGCACCCCACCACGTCCAGCGCTGGGGCCTATGGTCAGCAGAGGTATTTCCTGAGAGCTTGGAGCCGCTGTGCCCGACCTTTGGGGCAGACAGACGTGGGACCTGGTGCTCCCGGGCTCCCAGGACACGCAGAGGGAACATGGCCAGAAACGGATGTTTGGCCGGGCAGGGGGCAAGGCCAGGGCACAGGAGGGACGTGACCGTGACCATCACCAAGGAGGAGGCACCAGCATGGGAACGTGTCGCCCCTCCCCACAGCCATGTGGCAACGAGCCTGAGGGGTCCAACCGCATCCCAGACTCCCCATCCTGCCGGCCACAGCATAACCACCCTCATCCACTGATTCAGTTCCTAAAGGTCACTTCCGCCCTGGGAACAGTCTGGGGGCCACGCCCTTCGCGATCGGCAGTTCACTGCGGGGAGCAGGCGGTACCCTGGGTGGCCACCGCCCCGCCAGCCCACTTCACTGAGCTGGGAAACTGGAGCAGCTCCCAGGCCGGAGGGCACCCCAGGGCCTGACTGTGGGCACCTGCTTCTCTCGGGGACCCACGATGGCAGCAGCTCTCCCTGCCACCTGCCCCTGGATGTCCATTACTGCACTAGGAACCCCAGGCCAGAGGCCACAGGGCCAGACCCCCGGGCGCAGAGTCAAAACCCAGCCAGCGTGTAAGCTGGGGGTGTGGAAATGAGAACAGCAGCCCCTGCCCCCACAGAAATCTTTATTCCCAGTCTGGGAAGGGGTGAGGGCGGGCAGGGGAGCCGCTGCCTGTAACCGATGGGGCCCCTGCACGGACAGGGCAGGGGAGGGGGGCCGGCAGCAGTGCCGGGAACCGCTGGCCCAGACTCAGTCTTTGTATGGGTGCATGTTTTCTGGGGAGAAGTTTCCAGAACGTTCCAGAATCTCTGTCAGAGTTTTAGAGAGTTTCAACCCCCCAGCGCTAAGAACCATTGTCCGGGCCAGAAGCGGAGCCTGCGCCTGGGGGAGGGACAGCCCATTGTACACTCCATCCTCTGGGGCGGGACTTCCTGTCTCTGTGGGGTCCAGCAGCCACAGTCAGAACGGGGTCATCCCAGACAAGAAACCGCTCCCCCCCGCAAGTCCTGGGGCTTGTCCGCCCGTTCCAGGGACCTGCTCCATATCCGGGCTCCATGCGGTTCCCTCTGCCAAGGCAGGTCTTCTCGGGGGGCGTGTCCTGGGGCTGGGGTGCTGGGCTGGTCCCCGTGGGTCCCAGGTCCTGCTGGTCCTGCATCTGTTCATGGAACCAAGAGACCGGGCTCAGGGCCAGGAGACTCTGCAGTCACGAGGGGGTGGTCAGTCGTGGGTGCTTAGGGGGCCCAGCCCTCTGCCCCCACTCCCCCAAGTGCTTGGAATGACCGCAGTCACGGGCAGGACACTTTGGTGACCGGCTCCAGAGCTCCCCAATCGCATTGTGGGGTAGGGACCTCCCAGGAGAGGCCGCCAGCAGGGCCCCCAAGACACAGCGAGGGCAGTGAGCCTGACCTCCCACACGGTGGGTGCCACGCCCCCTCCAAGGATCCCAGCCCACCTGGCTAGAGCCAAGTCCTCCAAGGCGCCTTTCCCAGCCCTCTCTGGGCAGATGGAGACTTTGGGGGAACCCCCACCAGAAGGAAGCCTGGCACTAAGAGGGTTGGGGCAGGGAAGGGAATGGGGCAAACAGGACCCCCTTTCCCATTCTCCTCCAGCAGAGGACCCCCATGCCTCTGAGCCTCAACTCCAAATCAGGCTCCGGGGCAAGTCCAAGCCCCACTCCTTTCTGCCTGCTCTTGCTCAGAGAATACCAGGGGATCTTCCGGGACACAGAACCTTTGGGGAAGCAGGTGGGCTGCCTCAGGGCTGGGTTTTAGGGCCGTGCACCCCACCAGCAGGTTTCAGTTCCCTGCTCTGCAGGAATGCAGGAGGTCTGCCAGCACCCCCCAGACCAGGCAATCCAAGCACTCCCACCGGATCCTCCAGCCCCTGCACCGGGCCTGCCAGCTAGGACCTCCCTGCCTCTGGCAGCCACAGAGACCCCAGAGGAAAGGACTGGTCCCGGCAGTCTGTGCATCTCGAGATGTGAATTCAGCCCGCAGACCCAGCTGGGGGGATCTGGGTCACCAGCCCCGCCCCTGCCTGTGGGTCTAGTTCCAGCCGAGCTGGCTGCAGTGCGCTGGACTTTGGAGCTGGGCCCGGCAGAAAGCCCTCAACCCACTCCATTTCCTTTCCCCCATCAACAACCCGGGCTAACCCTGCCTGCCGACCTCCACCTCGGGGTGCAGGTTACTGGCGGCTCCCACGAGTGAATAGGTGGGAACTGTCTTTACAGCGTGTCCCCAGGGACAGACCCCAGCGCGGTGTGAGAACCTCAGGAACGGGGCAACGTGTGCGCACGCCCCACCCACCACCCACCCCACTCGAGGCACTGTGCTTCTGTGGGATGTCCCTTCCCGGTTCCCCCGCACCCTCGCGGTGTGAGTCCCACACCGACAGGTCTGCACGGCGGGTCTGAAGCACCTTCCCAAGGTAGAGAACGTGCCGGAGCTCGGAGAGTTTGGGGGTGCGCGGAACGGGGGCAGGGACTGTCGGGGTGCTTCCCGGACACTCTGGGGACGAAGACCCAGTAAGGATCCTGGGCCAGGGCCACCCCGTCCCTCCCATCTCCCCCCTCCCCGCCCCCCAGTTCTCACCTCCTGTTCTCACCTGCTCTAGGCGAGACAGAGACCCCGCGTGGGGCACCCCCCCGACGGCGCGCGGGAGAGAAAAGGGAGGAGACGGCCGGCTCCTCCAGGAACCCCGGGGCGGGCCGTCCGGGTCTGGGGTCGGGGGGTGTCCCGTGGAGAACGGGGTGCGCGGGGCGGGGGGCGCGGCGCGGGGCGTCAGAGCACGCGGCCCAGGTGCGCGCCCTGCCCGTCGGGGCCGTGGCCGTGGCCGCGCTGGTGCGTCTTGAGCGAGCCCTCGCGCGCGAAGCTCTTGCCGCAGCGCGCGCAGAAGTAGGGGCGCCGCTCCCCGAAGACGCCGGGGCGCCGGGGGTGCGGCGCGGGCATGCGCGCGTGCGTGCGCTGGTGGTTGAGCAGGAACCGCGGCTCTCGGAAGCAGCGGCCGCACTGCGCGCACTGGTGCGGCTTCTCGCCGCTGTGGATGCGCTGGTGCGTGAGCAGGTTCTGCTTGAGGCTGAAGCAGCGGCCGCACTCGGCGCAGGCGAACGGCCGCTCCCCGGTGTGCGTGCGCTGGTGCACCTCCAGGTTGTGCTTCACGCTGAAGGCCTTGCCGCACTCGGGGCACACGAAGGCGGCCGCGCGGCCCGCCCCGGCGTGCAGCTTCTGGTGCCGCACCAAGCTGGGCTGCTGCGGGAACGTCTGGCCGCACAGCGGGCAGCGGTGCGGCGGCTCCTCGGCCGGGTGGTGGATGACCAGGCCTCGCTCGTCGCCCAGGCCCTCCTCCCCGTCCCCCGCCGGGGACCCGCCCCCGGAGGGCACCAGCTCGGTCATGGGCACGTCCAGCGGCGATCAGCAGCCCCTGCGGCGGCACAAGCAGAGAGAGGAGTCGGTGCGGGGCCCCGCGGGACAGCCCGGCCCCGGCCCTCCGCGGTCCCTCTGCCTCCGCTGCCCCGACCCTGCCCCTCTTTCAGGACCTTGGCAAGCGCCCCCTTCTCCAGAGGCCTTCCCTGATCCCACCAGCACCCCGGACCCCCTCCACCACCATCCTGGCCCCCTTCCCACTCCGCTCACCACCGCTGCAAAGGGCCGTAGGGGACAACGCCGCGCGCTACGCGGTCCCCAACACGAAGCCCTTTGCTTCCCGCACGCCAACGCGCTCACGCGTGCGCGCAGCCCCGGCCGGACACCTGTGGGTGAGCCTGGGCGACCCGCCCCCGCCGTTATCCTGCTGCAAGGAGTTGCTCTCTCCCACCCGATTCTCAAGGACAGGCTGAGGGAGGCAAGGGCGGGCCCCGGGGTTGAAAGATACTTTGGCAAAACTTGAACAAAACCAACCCTGTGCTTGAAAGTGACCTGCTCCACACAGAAGGCAACAGTTCTCTGTCGATCAAAACCAGGCCGTGCCTGGGGGGGTTGGCCACCCCCGCCCCCGCCCGCCCCCAGCCAGAATGTGCGCCCCCGATTGCTACTTTGGGCAACACCCCCAGAAAAGCCAGGTGCGGAGCGCAAGACCCCAGCGCTCCAAAGGCCCCTCGCCCCAGGCTCTGTAGTCCTGGCAAATCAACTGCTCCCATTGCCCTCGGGGAGGCCTGGGGAACGGGCTGTGCTCCCTGGCCCCCCGCTGCACAGATGGGGAAACTGAGGCTCGGTGAAGTCATCACTCTCGTCCAAGGTCACGAAGTAAAGGTGAACCAGGGTTAGGCTTAAAGCTTAATGGCTCTTCTAGGGGTCCCAGCTGCTCTAGGAGTAAATGCCCCTCAAAGCACCCACGCACACCCCCAAAAACAACACCCCCGGCCACCCCAGGGCCTTCAGGTCCCAACGGGTCACTGCTCAGGGGTGTCCTGGGGCGGGGGGCCCTCAAGTCTGCTCCCGAGCACAGAGGAGCGAGTCCCCCGCAGCCCCTCCCCTCTGGGACCAGCGGGCTGTCCCCCACCTGCAGGCTGGTCCACCCCACTTCCGGTCTCACGCTGCGCCGCCGGACTCAGTGGGTCTGGCTGCGGGGGTGGGGGGGCTCCGCCGTCCCCGCCCCCAGCCCCCTCTCACGCCCTCACCCCTGGGAAGAGGACAAGCCCCACTCACTGGGCCCCACCCTGCCACCTCGCCCAGGCCCCCCCGCCGCCTGTCCACTGCTCGCGGCTGCACCCCTGCCCACCGCCCCACCCCACCCCGCGGTGCCGAGGCCGCGGAGCCCTCGCGCTCCCCCACCTCATCCCCCACTCACACCCCAGGCTGCGCCCCCTTTAGCTCCGGGCTGCAGCAGGGAATCTCTCCGCTAGGGTCTGCGCTGCCCCCCACCCCCCGCAAATACGGTAAGTCTCCCGCAGCGACCCCTGCACCCCCGCCCCCAGAGAGCCGCCTCCCGGCCGCTGTCCGCCCCAGACCGCCGCGTCCCTGCACAGAGCGGACCCCACCCACCCGGGCCCGGCCAGCAGCGCCGCCAACTCCAGGGGCCGGGGCGACCCTGCAGAAAGGGGGGGAAACTGCGTCGCAACCCCACCCCCCACGGAAAAACGTCGGCCTCCCACCCCGCGGCCTGCCGCCAGGCATCCCACCCTGCCGCCAGCCCCGGCGCCCCCCGCCCCCCGGGAACCAGTGCCACCCGCCCCGAGCCCCCGCGGCGCCCCCCGGGGCGAGCACGCCACGCCGGATAAATACGCAATTGAGTCGCGGCGCTCCCCGCTCCGGGAAAGGGTCTGCGCCGCTCCCGGCAAATACGGTAGCGCCCGCAGTGACCCGCCCCCCAGGGTCCGGCTCGGGCCTCGGTAAATACGGTAACCTCCGCCGCGGCCCGGCCCGGCCCAGCCCGGGACTCACGTGGCGCCGCCTCCGTCTCCGCCGCAGCGCCGCAGTCGCCCGCGTCGCCGCGCACAGACGCACAGCAGCCCCGTGAGGCGGGGAGGTCTAACGCCGCACCCGCGGGCGCGCCCCCCGCGCCCAGCCGCCAGCGGGGCCCCCCGGGCACTGGGAGCCTGGCCCTCGCCTTCGCGCTTCACCCCTGGCCAGGGCCACTGGGACTCAGGGAGGCCTCGGTGGTGGGGGGCTGGGGATAACAGCCTTCCCTTGCAATAGAAAGAAGGGGCGACTCTCCAGGCTGGGGGGGGGGTGGGATGGGGATGGGGGGAGAGACCCCCAGGGAAGGGAGAGCCAGAAAGCGCCCCGGAGCTGCTTGGCCCAAGCCCACCCCCGCTGTCTGACCGGGTCATGCCCCCCCCATCCCAGGTACATCACCCTTAAAACTGAACCCAACCCCGTGGAGCCAGACACCCCATAAAAGCCACTTCTAACACCTAGGGACAGCTGCGGCTGTGCCCAAGGTTGGATTCGCCTTGGGGCCAGCAGTAATTACAGCAGGCACCTACGCGTTCCTGGGGGGTGCAGCCCTTTCCCACCCATTAACTCCTGGGAGCCGCCAATAACTGCCAATAACCCGCACCCCAAGGTCGGCAGGCGTGATTAGCCCGGGTTATAGATGGGAAAAGGAACATGAAATGAGCTTTCTGCCCACCTAGCTCCAACGTCCAGCGCACTGCAGCCGGCTCGGCTGGACCTAGACCCACAGGCAGGGGCGGGGCTGGTGACCCAGATCCCCCCAGCTGGGTCTGCGTCCTGAATTCACATCTGGAGATGCACAGACTGCCCGGAACAGCCCTTTCCTCTGGGGTCTCTGTGGCTGCCAGAGGTAGGGAGTGTCCAGCAGGCAGGCCCTGAGCAGAGGATCTGGTGGGAGTGCTGGGATTGCCCAACCTGGTCTGGGGGTCGCTGGCAGACCTCCTGCATTCCTGCAGAGCAGGGAACTGAAACCTGCTGGTGGGGTGCTCGGGCCCTAAAATCAGCCCTTGTTCCACCCCCTGAGGCAGCCCACCTGCTTCCCCAAAGGTTCTGTGATGGGTCTGTGTGTCCCGGAAGGTCCCCTGGGGTCTGCCAGCCCCTGTCAGCCAGCTTGTCCTTGAGCTCTGGGATGTCTCCCAGGCACATGAACTTCCTGAGTTACACACTCGAGGAGATTGTGGGGGCCAGGGAGAGGATTGCGGCAGAAGAGGCCTCAGTGGACATGGGACCTTCTGACCTCCAGTGAGCCCCCCTCCCAGGAGCTGTGGCGAGGGAGCGGCCCCTGAGCTGTTGTCACCCCTCCAGAGTCACACCCATCCTCGCCACAGGGTTTTCATCAATCAGGTCTCCTAGGGGTCACCCACCATTTTTAGCAGCATCTTCGAGGTAGGATGTGCCAAGACAGAACTTAGACTGGGAGCCAGGGGGTGCAGATACCGCCCAGAAACGTTCCCCTCCCCGCACCTCAAGACTCAGCTGGTGGAGGCCTGGGCAACCCTGTCCTCTGCCCTGGCTGGATTTCTGCTGAGTCACCTGGTTTTCCCTCTTTTCTGCGCGCGCGCGCGCGCGCGCGCGCGCACACACACACACACACACACACACACACACACACACACACACACACACACACACAATGGCCCAGAAACCAGCTGACCCATGGCCCTGTCCGGGCTCCTGCACCGCACCCCCACCCAGGAACACTCCAGCTGCAGGACCGTGGAGTCCCCTGGACAGCTGAGCCCACTGACCCTGCAGGTACTGGGACGCCCACACCGCCCGCCCCCCTACCCAGGGGTGCACCGCCAAGGCCCACACTCAGCTGGAGTCACCTACCCAGCTCCTGGGCTCCCCAACACCCCGCCGGCCGTGCTGGCTTCAGACTGGACCTCAGCAGACCTGTGAGAGCAGGGGACTCTCGGCAACTGTCTCCCAGCCCCCAGGGGGGTCACTGCTGCGCGCATGAGCTCACCACCACAAGGCCAGCGAGGGGCGGACACCGGGTCACAGCCCGGGAGAAGTGGGGCTCAGGTGGCAAGATCTGATGTGCTCTGAAGTTCTCTTTATTTCGGGTTTAAAACCCAGATGGGACCTGGACGTCAGGACAGCCGGCTTTCAGCAGGCTCAGTTCTGGGGTGCCTACAGGTGCACCCCATTTTGTCACACTTGGAGGGACATGTGATGGTGGTGTGAGTGTGTGTGTGTGTGTGTGTTTGCTTTTCCTAACCCCCTCCACCGGCAAAAAGATTGCAGGTCGCCCAAGGCTTGGGTGATGGTTCACATCTTTAGCAATTTTTTCATTTGATTTCATTTCATCATCCTGTTAATCGTCGATTGCCTCGAGCAGGCCCCAGTAACGTCTCTTTCATCCTAGCCCTGAGATTATATTCACGGCTCTTTAGGAGAATGAGACCCATCATTGTTACTGGTATCTGGCATATTGGGTACGCCACGGGGAGTTTGCCAGACTCTGCCCTGTGGGCAGGCTACATTCGATAGCCTGCAAGTTTGTCCAAAGTAGGAATGAGGTAATAAGATGTCTTCGGGTGCCGGAGCCCGGGTCGGGGCAGGGAGGAAAGCTCGACCTGCTCCCCTCCAAGGGGTCCCGGCGAGGGACACCCAGGTGCGGGGGCAAAAGACTGCACTGTTCTCGTCCGGGATCTGGATTTTATAGTCTCTAAAGATAAAATCTTTAGCAATAAAGTATTTTTTAATTCAAGTATGTACGGTAGGGCGTTTGCCTTGCGCGCAGCCGGCTGGCCCAGTCAAGCCGGGTTCGATTCCACCGCCCCTCTCGGAGAGCCCGGCAAGCTACCGAGAGTATCTCGCCCGCACAGCAAAGCCTGGCAAGCTACTCGTGACGTATTCAATATGCCAAACACAGTAACAACAAGTCTCAAAATGGAGACGTTACTGGGCCCGCTCGAGCAAATTGATGAACAACGGGAGCACCATGCTACCGTGCTTTAATGTACATCTAGTAGGCAGAATGCTACTGCACGCTTAAACTGGGGTCTGGGGGAAATGTGGGTCTTATAGGCACCGGGAATAAAAGGCCACACCATGGCCCACTTTCTCGTGGTCTGGAAATGAATTCACAGTCTGTCCAGGGTGGCTTGTCATCCCGTTGGGGCCACCGCGGAAACCCTTCTCCCTTTCCTTCTGCTCCTGCAAACTGCACTGTGCGAGCAGCCACACACAGGTCCCTGAAGCGGCTGACAAGGCTGAGCACGTGCCGTGTGCATCAGTGAGTGATCCCAAGTCTGCAGGGGCCAAGCTAGTGCTCCCCCAGAATTACGTGGCTCTACCCAGTATCCCCACAAAGGCGCCTCCAGATTGGGGGAGGGGCGGGGCTGGGAGACATTTCTAGTTTCTTTTGTCGCTAGCAGGGAACATTGGTTCTAGCTCTGGACCATCTAAAGGCTGTGTCCAGGGGCTGGAGAGATAGCACAGTGGGTAGGGCGTTTGCCTTGCACGCTGCCGACCTGGGTTCGATTCCCAGCATCCCATATGGTCCCCTGAGCACTGCCAGGGGTAATTCCTGAGTGCAGAGCCAGGAGTAACCCCTGTGCATTGCCGGGTGTGAGCCAAAAAGCAAAAATAAATAAATAAATAAAATAAAGGCTGTGTCCAGTGATCTAAACCTCATGACAATCATATCGTATTTCATTCCATTCGAGCCGCTGCCGCATTCCCGGTGTTCACTTGCCTCCCGTGGCCAGTGTAGGGGCAACGTCAGACCGATGTCTTCAACACTGAAAGTTTGCCCTGGGCGGGGATGTCTCGAGCCCTGCTCCCTCCAGATCTGTGTGCGGAATATGGAAGATGATTGCTTCTTTTCTTCTTCTTTTTTTTGGTTTTTGTTTTCATTTTTGTTTTTAAGCCACAGCAGCAGTGCTCAGGGAGCACTCCTGGTGGGGTGGGGGGGGGACTCTATGGGATGCCGAGGATCGAACCCAGGTCAGCCACATGCAAGGCATTCTCCCTGCTGTGCTATCTTCTGGTACTCTTCTTTACTTCGTTTTGGTTTTAGGACCTCACCTGCGGGTGCTCGGGGGTCACTCCTGACACTGCTTCGGGGACCCTGCGGTGCCAGGTTTTGAACTTGAGTCCTCAAGGTGCCAGAGCCTGTGCTCCAGTCCTTTGCACCATCTCCATGTCAGGAGCCCGAGAGTTTCCAGTTCACCCAGCAGACCTCCTGCCAGCTGCCATTTCTGCTCTACCAGCTGCCCCCTCCTTACGAACATACTTTTGGGGGGGCACACCCAGCTGTGCACAGGACTTACTCCTGGCTTTGTGCTCAGAGATTACTCCTGGTTCCTGGCGGGACTCAGGGAACCATAAGGGGTCCTGGGGATCGAATCCCAGTCAGCTCTGTGCAAGACCAGTGCCCTGCTGTCCTCTCGCCGACCCAGTGAGGGCATTCTCGTCAGGGTCTCGCTTTGCCAAACCCAAACCACTGGACAAGAAAGGAGAGGCCCCCGGCTGGAGCGATAGCACAGTGGGTAGGGCGTTTGCCTTGCACGCGGCCAACCCAAGTTCAATTCCCAGCATCCCATGTGGTCCCCGAGCACCGCCAGGAGTAATTCCTGAGTGCAGAAACAGGAGTAACCCCTGTGCATCGCTGGGTGTGACCCAAAAGAAAGCAAAAAAGAAAAGAGGCCCCGAAGCAATCACACTCCCTCCTCCCTCTCGCCAGCGCTGTCAGACCTGAGGTCTACTGCTCCCATGGCTGCCCCAGGAGTGTCCCTCAAGGACAGCCCCCTTGCTAGCTGACCGGAAGCACTGCCCTTTGCCAGGGCAAACATGTTCTGAGGAGAGAAGTAGGTGGTTTTCCATAGCTGCCAGCCCGCTCCCAACAAAGGGGCAGCCAAACTCGCGCACTCCCCTGGCCCGACCGTGCTCCTTCGCTGGGTCTCTCTGGCCACGGGCAGAAGGTTGGCGCTCCGAGATCTTATCTGACTAGTGACCACTTTCCGTCCCTAGTCACCTCCTCACTCAGCTCGCTCAGGGCCCCTTGGGGTGGGAACCGCTGGGTCTGTCCGTCTTCCTAAACCATCTCTGGCCTCGTTTTATGATTTTTAAAATGAACAGGAGAGGCTGGAGAGAAGTACAAGGCTTTGCCTTGGAAAGGCAGAAGGTGCTTTCCTTGCACACAGCTGACCCCAGTTCAAACCCTCTACACCACATATGGCCCCCTGAGCACCCACTAGGAGTGAGCCCTGAGCACAGATCTAGGCATGAGCTCTGAGCACCACCAAGTGTGTCCCAAAAGCCAAAACAGTCACATTGGGGCTGGTCAGGGCACTTGCCTCGCATGCTGCCGACCCTAGTATTACCTGGCTCCCAAGTGACCAGAGAGTAACCCCCAAGCACAGAACCAGTTATAACCCCTAAACCACCACATGTGACTCAACCCACCAAAAAAGGATAGAAATACCATGGGGGGGGGCAGGGAGACGCTGCAGTTTGGGCATCTGCCTTCCACACACCACTGCTTGTGGCCCCTAAAACAAAACATAGTAATAAAAGTAAATAGCACTGCCCTCCCGTTGTTCATGGATTTGCTCGAGCGGGCCCAGTAACGTCTCCATTGTGGGACTTGTTGTTACTGTGTTTGGCATATCGAATACGTCACGGGGAGCTTGCCAGGCTTTGTCGTGTGGAATAATAAAAGTAATGGGAATAAAAGCAAAGTTGCCCAAGTCAGGCCGCCACTGGAGAGAACTGGGCGAGGTGGAAGTGCCCCTTGTCTCATCTGGTGGACTCTGGCCCACCTTCTTTCCTGCGGCTCTGACAGCATCAGGAAACCTGCCCCAGCTGTGCTGTGTTTGACCGACGTTCGTGAGCACCAGGGCACAGATCCTAGATCTCACGTGCCCCCAGATTCATATACGGGCCCCCCACGATAGCCTGGAGAGCGGGGCTTTGTAGGAGGGAGATAGCGGGTCCTCCAGGCAGCTCAGACACTGGACAGCTGTCGTTCCCGCCTCCCTGCCCCTCCCAGCTCTGAGGACACAGAAGATGGCAGCCGTCAGCACCTCGGGATGTGGGTCCTCGCCGGGCCCCGAACCCACAGCTTGGACCCCCAAGTCTGTCAATCTAAGCTCCCGGTGTGTGCTAAGGCGGCAGGAGCACGGCTGTGCTGCGTGACCTGGCCCGCGGGCTCTGCACACCCGTCCTCCATCCTCTGACGGACCCAGAACACAGGGGGTCCATTCTTGAGTTTTGTTTTGTTTTGTTTTTTTCTTTTTGGGTCACGCCCAGCAATGCACAGGAGTTATTCCTGGCTCTGCACTCAGGAATTACTCCTGGCAGTGCTTGAGGGACCCTATGGGATGCTGGGAATCGAACCCGGGTCGGCCATGTGCAAGGCAAACGCCCTGCCTGCTGTGCTATCGCTCCAGCCCCTCTTGAGAACTTCTCGCCTGAGGTCTGGTGATGTCCCCCTCTCGGCCTGCTTGCTTTGCTCATTAAACCATTCCTAGAAGACACAGCTGCCGTCCAAAAGCCCCCTCCCAACCCCTCTGCTGCCCGCCTACACTGATGCCACAGGGGCCCAGGGCTTCTGCAGGTCTGTTCTTGCCCCAGGGGGTCCCTAGTGCAGAGGTGGTACTCTGGGAAGTGTTCCTGGAGATGGTAACCTTGCTAGAGTTGGTTTCAGGAACTGCAGCATCCGACAGTGGCAAAGTGTAAAGGCCGTGACTGGGGAGGGGTGGGCAGGTCCTTGATTAGCCCCTGGCTCTCTGCCTCTCCGAGGGGCCAGGCTGGGGGCACGACCTGCGGGGTGCCCTGGAGCTGCTGGGCCAGAGAAGCGCCAAGGAGACCCTCCTGCGTTCGCTCCCTTCCCACACCGGAACCGGGGCACCGGGTAAGCTGAACCCATCACGGCTCCACCACTGGGGCTGGATGACCCGACAGTGGTGTACAGTCTGGGCTAGGAGTGCAGAATCTGGGGTGCCCAGCAGAGCACCCCGAGAAGGAAGCACATAAAGAGTGGGGGCTGGGGGTGGCAGCGGGTACAGTGCCGTCATGCTGGGGTCCTCCTTCCCTCCCACCTCGTGACCCAGCCCAAGGAACCCATCCCCTCTGCAATTCTCTCCCTTCTGTGGGATCACACCAAAGTCACGGGCCTGGGCTGGACCCTGGGGCCTGCAGTCAGCTCCTTGGAAGGACCTGAGGGGTGGCCTTGAGGGTGACAGAGGCTGAGGGGTGAGACCGAAGTGTCTTGGAGCAGAGAGCAACCCCCAGCCCCCCAGCAAGCACACCTGGAGCTCAGGACAAGGAGGTGCTAGAGTGAGGAGGCCCGTTTGTCTTGCGGGTGGCTGGGTGGAGGTTGCAGGCATCCCAGGTGGTCTCCTGGGTACCACCAGGCGTGATTCCTGAGTGCAGCGCCAGGAGGCCCCCTGAGCAGCGCTGGGTGTGGCCCGGAAACAAACCAGGACAAGGAGGCGGAGATGGACACAGTCCTTCATTGTTCCTCCACAACACCCCAGGGATGGGACCCCCCTGCCAGGGCCCTACGGCAGTCTGGGAGCACCCGTACTCGGCCCCCAACGTCACAGGCCCCCCAGAGCAGCACCTAGACAGTGGGGTCCGGAGAGGTGAGACCAAAGAACCTTCCTTCCTTCCTGTTTATGCTTGACCGCCACAAGCCTGACACTGCCCGGTCCCTGCTGGCTTCCGGCCTGTAGCACCAAGGAGCCAGGGGGACTCTCCCTGCGCGAGAGTGATGGACCAGCAGCCGGTGGTCCCGCCCAAGGGTGCAGCTGGACCAAATCACACAGCTAGGACAGGGGATCAGCCTCGGCACTCCCGGGCCCTCCTGCCGTGCCCGGTGGGGAAACGTCTGGATTCCGTCCTTGGGTCCTTTGGCCTCAGGGAAACGCCTTCTGCTGGCACCTCCAGGGGCACCCGGGTCCGCCACTGTGCAGGATCGTGGCCCAGGCGCACCCGCGGCGCGGGCTAGAGCGCAGGGTCCTTGGCGGCGGGCGCGGGCAGCCCCCGGTGCGTGCGCTGGTGCTTGAGCAGGTGCTGCTTCTGGCTGAAGCCGCGGCCGCAAAGCGCGCACTGGTAGGGCCGCTCGCCCGTGTGGTTGCGCCGGTGCCGCGTGAGGTTGGGCTTCTGGCTGAAGCGGCGGCCGCACTCGGGGCACGGGTAGGGCCGCTCGCCCGTGTGGATGCGCTGGTGGATGGTGAGCGCCGACCACCACGAGAAGCTCTTGCCGCACTCGTTGCAGATGAACTGGCGCGGCTCGCCGGGCGCCCCGCGCGCGCGGCCCCACAGCGCGTCCCCGGGGTTCCGGGCGCGCGGGGGGCCGTCGTGTGGCGAGGCGGGCGCGGCCGCGGGGTCCGGGGCGGCGGCGGCGGCGGAGGCGGCGTTGTGGTGGGCGCGCAGGTGGGCCCGCAGCGCCGCGCGGCTGGGGCAGCTCTGGCCGCAGCTGGCGCAGTGCGCGGCCTGCGCGGCCGGCTGGTGCGTGCGCTGGTGCTTGAGCAGATGCTGCTTCTGGCGGAACCGGCGCCCGCAGTGGGCGCAGGGGTGCGGCCGCTCGCCCGTGTGGTTGCGCAGGTGCCGCGTGAGGTTGGGCTTCTGGCTGAAGCGGCGGCCGCACTCGGGGCACGCGTAGGGCCGCTCGCCCGTGTGGATGCGCTGGTGGATGTTGAGCGAGGACCACCAGGTGAAGCTCTTGCCGCACTCGTTGCAGATGAACTGGCGCGGCTCGCCGGGCGCCCCGCGCGCGGGGTCGTCGGGCCGCGCCCCCGGGGGCCGCCACCAGCCCGGGCCCAGCCCCAGCCAGGCCCAGGCGGCGCGACCCCGCAGGCGGCAGCCCCGCGGCGGCGCGGGCGCGGGCGCGGGCGGCGCGCGCGCGTGGGCGCGCAGGTGCACGCGCAGGCCCAGCTGGTGGCGGAAGCTGCGCTGGCACTCGGGACACGCGAGCGTGGCGGGTCGCGCGTGCGTCTTCTGGTGCTTGAGCAGGTGCTGCTTCTGGCTGAAGCGCCGCGCGCACTCGGGGCAGCGGAACGGCCGCTCGCCCGTGTGGTGGCGCTGGTGGCGCGCCAGGTTGGGCTTCTGGCTGAAGCCGCGGCCGCACTTGGCACAGCGGTACGGCTTCTCGCCCGTGTGCGTGCGCCGGTGGATCTTGAGCGACGACCACCAGCTGAAGCGCTTCCCGCAGTCCAGGCACGCGAAGTGGCCCTCGCCCGCCGCCAGGGCCGCCCCCGCCGCCGGCTCGGCCCGCGGGCTCCACCGCGGCGCCCCGGCCTCCTCCTGCGCCCCCAGCGCGCGGGGCTTGCCCACCAGGCCCGGGCACGGCGGGCGGCCCCGGCCCCGAGGCTGCCGGCAGATGTTCTCCTTATCCCTCTCGGCCGGCGGGGGCAGCGGCCACTCGGCCTTCTCCTGCTTGATCCTCATCGTCGGTCCAGCTCCTGCCGAGGCAAAGGGAGGACGGACAGTCACTCACGGCAAGGGGACGCCTGGAAGGACAGCAGCACCCCGGGGGAGGAGGGCTGAAAAGGGGCGAAGAGGAAAGGGGAGGGATGGGGTGGCGGAAGGAGGAGAGGCAGAGGGGCAGTGAGATGGGCCCAGACGCCGTCCGGGTCTGGATGGTAAACGGAGGAATCCTCCAACCCAGAACGCGAGCAGAAAGTGAACTACCCGGAGGCATCGTGGTCCCTCTGAGAGGGGGGTTGTGCTGGGACCCGGGCCAGCGTCCGGGAGGCTAAGCCCGGATCCCCACCATCCGGGACTCCCAGGGGACCCAGCCTGGCACAGAACACCTCATCTGCGTGAACCTTGCTGTCTGTACCTCGTCTTCCCCCACGATAAAGGAGGCAGGAAATTCTCGGCAGCCTTGTGGGGCACCTGGCCCAGTGCCGGGGACACACCGCTGCCAGCCCCTTACATGGGCGCAGGTCTGCACGATGCCCTTGCCCTGTCTCCTGCCATGAGACCTGGTGGTAATGAGGCAGGAGAGACAGGACGGTGGGCAGGGTGCTTGCCTTGCATATAGCTGACTGGGGTTCGATCCCCGGCACCCCACATCATCATCCCCCAAGCACCACCAAGAGTAATTCTTGAGCACCGCCAGGTGTGGCCCAAAAACCAATGAGTGGTTCGAATCAGGCCAGAGAGAGGGCGCCAAGGGCTAGCTCACTGGCTTCACGATAAGAGGCCAGATGCGATCCCCTGAGCCCCTCAGGGAGTGACCCCATGCAATGACCCAGCAGCAGCCAGCTGTGGCCTAAAAACAAACCCCAAGAGATGAAAAACTGCAAATTTCATGTGTAACCCAAATGAAAGAAAACTTGACAGAGAAATAAAACTTGCTCCGCAGAGACGTGCTCTGGGTGACCTGAGACCCTCAGAAGAGTTCGCCCCGGGCCAGGGCTGAGGAAGTGGCTGCCCGGGCTCCCCAGAAGCCTCTGCAGGCAGGAAACCCTCCACTCACTCTGACCCGGATCAACCAGCCTTTGGAAGAAGGACCCTTCCAAGGGAGCCGTTGCCAGAGGCTCACTGATGACGGGAGCGGCAGCAGCGCCCGTCTAAGCCACAGTGCAAGCTTGCAGGGCAGTGGCCGACCACCTCCCACCCAGCACGGTTCCACACAGCCCCAGAACACCAGCTTCCACCCCTGCCTGCCCATACCGTGGAACTGGGGCCCTTTCCATCCTCCTCCTGCAGATCTGGGAAGGATTCTCTGCTCAAGCTGGGCTCTGGGGTCCCAGGGTGAGGTGGGATGGGAACACGCAGCCAGGAACAGGTTCTGGGGGTAAGCGCCTGCTCTCAGGCCTCGCGCACCCCCGTCTGCTCAGGCCACAGTTGCTGTGCCATCCAGATCCCCCCTGGCTGCCCTGTGACCAGGCTGGGAAATGCCACAGTCGTCAAGGCGTCCCGGCCCGGAGCAGGGCAGCTGGGTGGGGAGAAGCTTCCGGGGACCCTCAGGGACCCAGCTGACACCGACCGTGCCTGCCGTGCCTGGCCAGGTGCACACCGCCCCAATCACAGCCCAAGGACTAGCGCTGGGCCACGCAAGTCCCCTGCCACGCAACTGACACGCTGCGCAGGCCCACAAGTGTGAAAAGATTGAAAACCATTGGTCTTCGGGGAGGGCTGCATGCACGTGTGTATGCAAGCGTGTGTGTGCATGTTGTGTGCGTGCATGTGTGTGTGCATGCATATGTATGTGTGTGTGTGCGTGTGTGTGGTCACTGACCTGGCAAGTCACGAGCTGAGTTTGGCGTCCCTGGTCTTAGGGGAGGAGTGCATGTGTGTGTGTGTGTACGTGTATGTGTGTGCATGTGTGTGTGTGCGTGTGTGTGGTTTCTGACCTGGCAAGTCACAGGCTGGGCTTGGTGCCCCTGGTCTTAGGGGAGGAGTGCATGTGCATGTGGGTGTGTGTGCGCGTGTGCATGTGTGTGTGTGTGCGTGTGCACACACGTGTGTGTGCATGTGTGTGCGTGTGTGGTTTCAGACCTGGCAAGTCATGGGCTGGGCTTGGTGCCCCTGGTCTCGAGGGGGAGATGCATGTGCATGTGAGGGATGTGTGTGTGTGTGTGTGTGTGTGCATGTTTGTGCGTGCGTGCGTGTGCGCGTGTGCGCGTGTGTGTGTGTGTGTGTGTGTGTGTGTGTGTGTGTGTGTGTGTGTGTTCTGACCTGGCAAGTCACGGGCTGGGCTTGGTGCCCGGTGGTTTTTCTCAGTTTTCTCGTTTTCTGCCCTTCAGTGTCCGTCCCAGCCAGAACCCCTGCACCTGCAGCGCGGGGACAGCAGAGAGACCCGGACCCAGGCTCAGCCCTCAGTTCAGCCCCGAGACCGGAGGAGCCGCTGGCTCGGCTCTGTCTCCCGCCCTCTCTCACCTGTGTTGGCGCCATGCAGGCCACTGTCCATGGCGGGGGGACCACCCGCAGCATCCGCCCTGCAGCTGTCAGTCCTGCTGTCTGGGGAGAGAGAGGAGGAAGGAGAGAGTCGGCCTGGGGCCGGCAAATGGGGCTTCGGTCCCCTGCCCACCCTGAGAATCTCTCCCCTCCAGGACCTCACCAGAAACGTGCTGCCCCGTGCCCACCCCGGTGGCCCCGGCCCTTCCCCTCCAGGTCCAGCTGGTCTCTGGACACAGCTGGGACGTGAGCCCCGCAGGCAGCTGTGGCCTTGACAAACCAACTGTGGCTGCAGCAGATGTCAAGGCTGGGGGCGGGGACGCAGGGAGGGTGACGAGGAGAGACTCGGGGATCAGAGTAGAGCTGGTCGAGTGGCAGCACGGTGGGAAAGGGGCTGGCCTTGCACATGGCCGTCCGGGTTCTATCCCCGGTGCCCCATCTGGTCCCCTGAGCACTGCCAGGAGTGATCCCTGAGCCCAGAGCCAGGAGTAGCCCCAGAGCACTGCCAGGTGTGGCCAAACAAAGGCGCCAGGCCCAGGGCAGAGGCCGGGCAGGGATGCACCCAAGTCCCCTTCCTCCCTGCAGCCCCAGGCCGCCTCCTGCCGGGCCCTGAACCCACCCAGCCCACCTGGGGCAGGAAGGCAGAAACTGGCCCTCATGTTCCAGCAGTGGTTGGGGACACATGCTGGTCACCAGGAGCTAAAGGGGGGCAGCTCCTAAGCCCAGAACCAAAGCGCCACCCACCCCCAAACAGTCACCCGGAGTGCGTCACCAAGTAGCACATGCAGATCAGCCGCCAACAAGTGCTTTACAGAGTTATCAGAAGGCCAGAGTCAGTCCAGCCTGTCCCCAGCACTGCCCTGGGCCCACCGTGCCTACTTATGCCCAGCACTGGGCTCCCCAGTACCCTCCGAACAACTTCCAAAGGACCCCCGTCCCTCCAGACCCTCATCTTCCACTCCTTGGCCATCCACACCCCTGGGATCCATTTTCCAGGTCTCCATCCTGCAGGCCCCGGGACCAGCCTATGGACAGCCCCCCTCAACTCAGTCGCCCGCCCCCCCCAGTTCCATATCTGACCCCTGACTCTGCCCCCCTCCAGCATACGTGCCCCACACGTGTCCCTCACCCTAGCACATCTTCCTCCAGCCCCACCTTCCACCCTACACCAGGAGCCCCCCAGGGTGGGGGCCCCCCACGCACCCCATCCTGGAAGAGCTCCCGATTCAGCTGACAGACACATCACCCCCCGCAGAATCCCAGGAGCTCGGCAAAGGTTAAGAAAGGTTCCCGCTAAGAATGAGGAAGATGATGTTGGGGCGACATCCTGCCTGGGGTCTCCCACCCAGATACTCCTGCCGTCAGAAACCTGGGATCCTTCCGCTTACCACTCACTACATGGACAAATGGACCACTCAGGCCTCCTTTGCCTGGGGCCCCCCAGCCTCTAGGGAGGTTCTTGAGGGAGACCGGGTAGATCTCCAGGTCTCAGGACCTGTGACTAGCACAGAGCAGGAGTCCTCACAGCCCAGGCCAGGTGGCCCAGGACAGCTATGCTCAGGGCTCACCACTCCCTTGGGGAACTGTCACCTCCCTCACCTCAGCCCCAAACAGACCACCACCAACCAGAACTCCAATCTTCCTTAAAGTTACCATCTTGAACAGGTTACTACTTTGCTTGAAATACCTCGGTGGGTCCCCAACAACTTTTGGATTGAGCTAAAAATTTCTTGGCAAGAGAGTTTAAAATCCAGGGGCCAGGGGCTAGAGTGATAGCACAGCAGGTAGGGCGTTTGCCTTGCACGCGGCTGACCCGAGTTCAATTCCTAGCATCCCATATGGTCCCCTGAGCACCGCCAGGGGTAATTGCTGATTGCATGAGCCAGGAATAACCCCTGTGCACCACCAGGGATGACCTAAAAAGCAAAAATAAATAAATAAATAAATAAAATAAAATCCAGGGGCCAGAGCTAGAGAGCAGTGGGGAAGGCATCTGCTTGGCATACAGCTGACCAGGGTTCAATCCCCGGCATCCAATAGGGAACCCGGAGCACCACCAGGACTAATTCCTAAGTGACGAACCAGGAGTAACCTCTGAGCATTTCTGGGTGTGCCTCACCCCCCCCCAAAAAAAAAAACAACTAAAAACAAACAAACCCAACCTCTGCTCACCCTTCTGGGTAGTGCAGATGTGCGTGTGGGTCAGCCTTCTCCCATGCCCCCATTCCACCCGCCCACCCTGATCTGGGGTCACTTTGACCAGGAAGCCCCCATGGGTACACCAGGTTCCATCAGGGGTCCTGTGAGCAGCCACCCGACCCCAGGCCACCTACATAGTATAATAATTTATGTCAGCAAGACTGACATCTTAAGGGGCTGGAGCAATAGCACAGTGGGTAGGGCGTTTACCTTGCACGTGGCCGACCCAGGTTCGACTCCAGCATCCCATATGGTCTCCTGAGCACCGCCAGGATTAACGTCAGTGCATCACCCAGTGTGACCTCCCCCATCCCCAAATAAAAAAGATGACATCTTTTTTTTTCCTTTTTGGGTAACACCCGGCGATGCACAGGGGTTACTCCTGGCTCTGCACTCAGGAATCACTCCTGGCGGATGCTGGGAATCGAAGCCGGGTCGGCCGCATGCAAGGCAAACGTCCTACCCGCTGTGCTATCACTCCAGCCCCAAGACTGACATCTTAAGCTACAGCACTTCTCTCTCACATGCCCCAAGTAAACCATATGTAAAAATTTTAACAAGGGAACATTAAAATTTAAACCCCAAAGAGACTGCCAGTGTGAAATCACACAACTTTAGAACGGAAGGCGTCAAGCGCTCTCTAATCTCTTCATCTCACAGATGAACACAGACACACACCCCAACACCCCAAGAGGAACCTAAGTGGGGCCTGGGTGTCACCACCTCTAGCGCGTGGGTCACACTGACTGTCAGCTCCACCTGCCCAAAACCCACTCAGGGCTCCATCCTGCCCGTCCCCACACCTTTAACGTGAAAGCCCTTGCAGCCTGCACACCCAGCCAGATCTGGGATCCTGTGCCCATTTCTCTGGAGTGGAGAGGGCTGCTCTCATGACTCTCCTGAAGGGAGATGCCACACCAACACACACACACACACACACACACACACACACACACACACACACACACACACACACACCCTCTTGTGGGCTTCCCTTTCATTGTTCACACCCCCATCCTTCATCTCACTCATTTTGTCATTTATTAAGCACCTACTACGTGCCACTCTGCGGCCAGCACTGGCCTTCCAGAATCTCAGTGTTTCGGGGAGACTGACACAAGCCCCTGGACATCCCGAACGTGGGGTCGGGGCACCGGCTGCAGCTCGCCCCCTCGGGTGGACAGTCCCCCCCTCCCACCCTCGCCTCCCAGTTCCTCCCACTCTCCTGCCCCCCCCCACTCCGGCTCCCCACCCCGACCCTCCCCACGCACGACCCGGCTCCTTCTCCCCTATGGGCTGTAGAGAGGGTGGGCGGGGGGTGGGGCGGGGGGACCCCCGAGGCCCCCCAAGGCCGCCCTGCAGCCGGAGACTGGGTGGAGGCAGCGCGGGAGGGCACGGCCCGCACCCTCCGCCCGCCCCTCCCCGCCCGCGTTCGGAGGGAGGGGACGGGAATAAATACCTTGACTTTGTGGCTAAGGTTAACGGGAACTGCACCCCGGGGCGCCTTGGGCACCGGGCTCCCGGGCCCCGCCAGTCCCGGGGCAGGCGGGGCGGGACCGGGGCCCTGATTGGACGGCGCGCCTGGGCCGTCTCGGGGGCCGCCCCGCGCTCTGATTGGCTGTTCCCCTCAGATGACCAGCCCGGCCCTATCGGAGAAGCTCGCGGGGCGGCCCCTTTGTTCTCCGGAGCCAATAGCCGGGGTGGGCGGGCCGACCTCGCCTCCCGCGGGCCTGGCGCGGCCCGGGCCGGCGGGGAGGGGAAGGGGCAGCGGGTGGTCCCGCGGCGCGCGCCCCCCGCAGCCCCGCCGCGACACCTGGGAGCCAGCCAGGCCGGGGCTGACGCCCGTGACGCTTCCTACGCGCACACGCGACTGCGCGTGGAGACTTGGCGGTGGCGTCGGGCGCGTGCTTCAGCGCCTCTTGCTCTTGCAAAGGGGGTGCAGCATAGCTAGGGAGAGACGCCGCCGCCCCCCACCCCTCCACCCCTGCTCGGCGAGGCACCCAATGGGCACGTGGGCACCGGCCCCTTCCCCCACCTTTCCCGTGAAAGTCCTTGCAGCCTGCACAGATCCCAGCCAGATCTGGGATCCTGTGCCCCACTCTCTGGAGTGGAGGGGGTTAACGGGAACTGCACGGCCTTGCATGTAGCCAAGTACCCGATGCCCGCTCTGCACTTGGGAATCACTCCTGGCTGTGCCAGGGATCGCACCCGGGGCGGCACGGCAGACACCCTCGCGGTCCCCAGCCACCGGGACTCTCTCCCAACCGTTGAACTTTCGAGTTGAGGAAACAGCTGACTGACAAAGTTAAGATCCTGGGTGGACTTAGTTCACTTAAGTGGAATTGCCTTCCCCATCAGTGGGTCAAAGCAGTCGGGGCGTCCCAGTCTGTTCCAGGGAAACTTTTGGAAAGAGAATTTTCTTGTCTACCCATCCAGATTGGAAGAAAAATGCCCCTGTATGTGCATGAAGTCCCTCCCGTTCCATCATCCTCTAGGGTGGCTCCCGCTGGCAGGATTCTCTCAGAGCTGCTCATACACCGCCTGGGTTTTTTTTTTTTTTTGGGGGGGGCAGGTGCTGGTCAGGCCACAAGCCTTATCCTAAACATGCATCCACCAACGTTCAAACAGCTCTTTAACTTCCTCATACTAGAAGCCAAGATTCCCCTGGGCCGTTCTTATAAAAGATGCTTTTCTGAACTTTGACTTAGTCATGTGTGCAAAAAGGAGTTGGCTGGTTACATACAAAAAGTTGACTGGAGTTTTGGAGGACCCTAACTGGTTCAAGAGAAATGTTTGCAAAGTGGAAAGCCTTAAGACAGTAGCCAGAGAGATGCTCAAAGGAGTGTATGTCTTAACATGTGTGAGGCCTCAAGCTTGATCCCCAGCATCACCATGGCCTTTTCAGCACTGCTGGGTGTGACCCTAGTGGCCCCTAAGCACTTCCTGGTATGACCTTAGTGGTCCTGGCCATCACTGGCAATACACACACACACACACACACACACACACACACACACACACCACATGCACACACACATTGTGCTATCTACACGGAGACCAGGTACAGACTAGAAAGTCTCATACATCTCTTCGTTTTCGAGCACCCAGTGAGACTCATTAGAGGACAGGAAATTTCAGCATCCTGGTTCCAAATCTGCATTGCCTCCACTCTCTGTGACCCAGAGTGAAGGATTCCTCCATATATTTCATGACCAAGGGCAAGTCAGAGGTTGAAAGAGGGGAGCGTGCTTGGGATCCTATTTCTATTAAACAACAAAAAAAATCAATAAAGAACAAGGTGGGGTGAAGAGGCAGTCACGTATCTGCATGCACCAAGGATGTCCTCAAACGCTATGGTAAAAAGGACTTCCATATGAACAGAAACAAAGTGTTTCTGCACCGTTGAAGATGTTTGTCACTGCAGAATTAATAAAGCTGTGCACAGCATACCCCCCACACACACACCCCGCAGAGCCCTGACCCTCCAATCCGGACAGTTCTTCCCTCCAGACTGCTGACAGCACTGTCCCTGGTGTCCCAGGGGCCCTGGAAGGAATCGCTGCCAAGATCACTCTGTTCCTCTTTAACAACCCCTTACCCACCGCCCAACAGGCACTTCTATAGATTTCCCTGACCTTCAGACTCTTGACTTTTCTGCCCAAAAAAAGAGTGGGTAAAAGGGTACCAGAAAAGACAACACAGGGCTGGAGTGATAGCACAGCAGGTAGGGCGTTTGTCTTGCATACAGCCGACCCAGGTTCGATTTCCAGCATCCCATATGGTCCACCGAGCACTGCCAGGAGTAATTCTTGAGTGCAGAGCCAGGAGTAACCCCTGTGCATCACTGGGTATGACCAAAAAAAAAAAAAAGAAAAGACAACACAACCACATTTCCCCATGGCCAGGCCATTTGCTTTCAGAGCGATGAGCTTCCAAACTCCGGAGCCATGGGCAGACTCCTCACTCTCACCCTTTCACTCAGCGCCCCGACACAAGCTGAGAATGTCATGACTACCTGTCCCCCACTCCCTACCCAGCATTTCTGGACCTCTGCCGACTTTTCTGCCCCTATCCCCCCAAAACCCTGCCAAAAAGGAAAGAAAAGAAAACCTACATCATTCCCCTTCCTTGAATCTCTGGCCTCCTGAAGACTGAGGTTTCTTGAGCCAATGCCCACACACCGGCTTTGAAAAACAAGCTGCCATCAACCACTAGCTCTTGAAGTACCCCCCCCCCCAAGCCCATAAATCAAGAGGAAGCTTTGAAGCCACCACTTTCATCCTACACACCCCAGGCCCCACCCACCTCTGCCCCTTGCATGCTTCGTGCACACAGACACCCTCAGCTTCGGCCTCTCTGTAGGGCTGGCTCTGAGCTCTGTGAACCTGTTGGCAGCTCCTCCTGCATTTAAAATTCTCTTCTTGGCAAAGGGCAGCGGCGGTATATTCCAGTCGCCCAATAAACACACACACACACACACACACACACACACACACACAAACACACAGGATGGTGGTGATGTAGCAGTGAAAGCCTGGAGAGGGGTGAAAAGCACCCATGAGGGCTTTGGGGTGGTGATTGGTGTCCCGGTGATGGTGGCTGAAGTGGCTGAATCTGCCAGTCTGAGTCAGGCGAGAATTTGAATGTCCTTGAGCAAATGTTTCACTTGCACTCAGGTTGAGTACCCGCACCAACACCAGGATTAGCCGAGATCCTTTTCGGTGAACTTCTTGGCAAGTTACAAGAGTAAAGGGTGGGGCCAGAGAGATAGTACAGTGGGTAGGGCATTTGCCTTGCCTGCAGCCAACTCAAGTTTGATCCCCGGCACCTCCAGGAGTGATTCCTGAGTGCAGAGCCAGGAGTAAGCCCTGAGCACCACTGCGTGGGACAAAACAAACAAAAAGTAAACTAAAAGAATAAAGTGTAATGCTTATTATGCACCAAACTGTACGAGGTGTTAAAACTGTGCAGAAATCATTAAAGTGGGGCTGGAGAAGGGCTGGAGCGATAGCACAGTGGGTAGGGCGTTTGCCTTGCACGCAGCTGACCCATGTGTTCTGGTGTTTGGGTGTTCGATTCCCAGCATCCCATATGGTCCCCCTGAGCACCTCCAGGAGTAATTCCTGAGTGTAGATCACAGATCACAGATCACAGATCATCCTGTTATTCATCGATTGCCTCGAGCAGGCCCCAGTAACGTCTCCTTCATCCTAGCCCTGAGATTATATTCAAGGCTCTTTAGGAGAATGAGACCCATCATTGTTACTGGTATTTGGCATATTGGGTACGCCACGGGGAGTTTGCCAGACTCTGCCGTGTGGGCAGGCTACATTCAGTAGCCTGCCAGTTTGTCAAAGTAGGAATGAGATGTCATAATAAGATGTCGCGTGGCTGCAAAAGCGGCCACGCGGTTCTGGGAGCTGGTTTTTATAGTCTCTGAATCTTGGCCGCTGATGGGATTACACAGCACCAGGGGGCCAGTTGGTGGGTGTGACCCCCGCCTACTGGAATTTGGAGGATCTGGGTGGAGGATGCTCGGCCCCAATCCGAGTAGGCTTGGAGATCTCGGCCCCAGAACCCACGTGGCTTTGTCCCTCTGCCGGCACCTTCAGGTGTGCGGAGAGTGGTCCCTTGGAGGGGAGCGGGTTGAGCTTTCCTCCCCGCCCTGACCAGGGCCCCGGCAGCCGAAGACCTCCAGGACCAGCCACCACCTGAGTGTAGAGCCAGGAGTAATCCCTGGACATTGCCGGGCGTGACCCAAAGAGCCAAAAAAAAAAAAAAAAAAGAGGAAAAAAGAAAAAACCCTGGGGCTGGAGAGATAATATAGAGGACAGGGCACTTGCCTTGCATTTGGTCAACAGAGGTTCAATCCCTGGCACTGTACATGGTCCCCAGAGCCCTGCCAGGAGATACTTGAGCACAGAGTCAGGAGTAAACCCTGAGCATGGCCAGATATGCTACCCCCTCCCCCCACCAAGAAGAAATTACTGAGAGGCACAGAGCTGGCCTAGTGACAGCTGTCAAAAATAGGCACTTTAATTAGTAGGCACAGCCATGCAGGGAGCTGGTCTAGCAAGGCGGGGGCGGGGGGAACCTGGCCAGGCAGGCAGGCGGGCAAACCTTTCCCTGCTAGCTGGCACCCATGTGTCTGACCTGACCCCACACAACGGTGAAGCTTCTAGAGAATCAGCCCCACTTCTGGGTGTCCCCGGCCCCTCTGCAGAGGATGACCCAGAGGCAGGGCACAACGGGGCTAGAGCGGGGACACTCGGCTGGTTACCGGGCACCCCTGCCTCAGGGGGGGCGTGCGGCCCGCCACCAGCAGCCTGTCTGCGGGAGAAAGAACACTTCTCGCCAATTCTAAAACCGAATCTTTATTCTCTAGTTGAAAAAGGAGGGTGAGTGGTGGTGGTGGTTTCGCTCCAGAGAACAGAACACAGCCCAACAGGTAGAAATCAGAGGACAGCAGATTCCATTCGTTACGGGGAGAATTTCTAACAACTACCCTACCACAGAACCCGGGTGGCAGCGGGTGCGGGGTCCCTGTCACTGGGTGCTCAGCGACTGGGAAATGCGAAGCAAACTCACTGCCCTCTCCCCTCGCTGACCCCCACTCCCGCTGCCCGGGTGGGCGATCCTCCCCACAGGCGCTGAGTTCTGGAGGGATGGGCAGGCACGGGGGCGCAGCGGAAGGCCCGCTCAGCAGCTAACAGCCAGGGGCTGCTCTGGGGGGCATCTACAGCAAATCTGACCAAGGAGGAAAGGTCTTCGGGGAGCCACTAACCGCAGCGGGGGTCTCCTGCCGGGCTCTCGGAAGCAGGGGATCTGGTGGGCCAGACGAGCTCGGTTTCGCCTCGCAGGTGCTGCCACAAGGCCAGCAGGTCCTCCGGGGCGGACCCAACGGGCGCACCCTTGGGATACTGGGGCACTAAACTCTGTAGCGCGGCTACTTCCGGGGGAGCACAAAAAGGACCTACTAAGAGACAGACATTAAGGCGTTTGCACCGGAGGCTCTGGCCACTCCTCAGCCGGATGCCCTACGGGGGTACACAGAGCTGCTATTGCTACTTTTCAAGACAGACCACCAGCTGGACACCGGGTCCCTGCACCGGGCATTGGGGAGGTGGGGTGGGGGGGTGCCCACCCTCCTCCCGGGGCCCGGCTCCCTTCCCGCCTCTCCCAGCCCTTCCCGTCGCCGGGCGACCCCAGCAGCCACCCAGGCCCCCCGGGAGGGGGGAGGGGGGCAGTGGTCCACCCGCGCGCGCTCAGACGTCGTGCTTCCCCTGGTGGGTCAGGAGCTTCTCCTCGTCGTCGAAGGTCTGGCCGCAGATGGCGCAGCAGAAGGCCCCGTCCCGGATGTGGCTCTTGCGGTGGGTGATGAGGTTGGACTTCTGGCTGAAGCTGCGGTCGCAGTCGGGGCAGGCGTAGGGCCGCTCGCCGGTGTGGATGCGCCGGTGGGACACCAGGTTGGACTTCTGGCTGAAGGCCTTGCCGCAGTCGGGGCACACGTAGGGCTTCTCGCCCGTGTGGATGCGCCGGTGCGCGGCCAGGTAGGGCTTGTGGCGGAAGGCCTTGCCGCAGTCCGGGCACACGAAGGGCCGCTCGGGCGCGTGGTCGCGCCGGTGGGCCGCCAGGTGGCTGCCCTGCGAGAAGCGGCGGCCGCACTGGTCGCAGGCGAAGGGCCGCTCGCCCGAGTGCACGCGCGCGTGGGCCACCAGGTGCGTCTTCTTGCCGAAGGTCTTGCCGCACTCGGGGCACGCGAAGGGGCGCTCGCCGCTGTGCTGGCGCTGGTGGGCGCGCAGGAAGCGCTCCAGCCGGAAGGTGCGGCCGCAGTCCTGGCAGCCGAACAGCAGCGCGGGGGGCTCGGCCCGCGGGGTGGGCGGCGGCGGCGGGGGCTCGGGGGCGGGCGCTCCGCGGGGCTCGCGCGCCAAGGGCAGCGGCGGCTCCAGGGGCCCCGGGGCGGCGGGCAGCAGCGCGGCGGCGGCGGCGGCGGCGGCGGCCGCGCCCTCCGAGCGCCGGTGGATCTTGCTGTGCGACAGCAGGTTGGGTTTGTGGCGGAAGCGGCGGCCGCACTCGGTGCACGGGTAGGGCTTCTCACCCGTGTGGATGCGCCGGTGCGAGGTCAGGTAGGGCTTGTTGGTGAAGCGCTTGCCGCACTCGGGGCACTGGTGCGGCCGCTCGCCCGTGTGCACGCGGCGGTGCGCGATCAGGTTGGGCTTGTGGCGGAAGCGCTTGCCGCAGCAGGCGCACTGGAACGGGCGGTCCACGGCGTCGCCGCCGGGCCGGGGCGCCGTCACGGCCGGCCGGCCCCGGGGCCGCGGCCCCAGGGCCTTGGCGGCCGCCTCCTCCAGGGCCTCGGCCACGTGCACGCGCTTGTGAGCCACCAGCTGGTCCCACTGCGCGAAGCTGCGGCCGCAGTTGCCGCAGATGAAGGGCCGCGCCTCGGGGGCCGGCGGGGGGCAGCGCCGGCGGTGGGCGCGCAGCTGCCTCCGGCGCCAGAAGCGGCGGTCACAGTCGGGGCAGGCCAGGGGCCGCCGGGCGGCCGCGTGCGCCCGCAGGTGCAGGACCAGGGCCACCCAGCCTCGGAAGCCCTGCCCGCACAGGGGGCAGGCGAAGCCCAGGTCGGGGGTGGCCGCCGCGTGGACCTGGCCGTGCAGCGCCAGGAAGGGGCCGTGGCGGAAGCGGCGGCCGCACTGGGGACAGGGCAGGGGCAGGCGCGCCCGGCAGCGGCGGGTGTGCAGCCAGAGGGCCACCCGGCCCGGGAAGCGCCTCCGGCAGTGGGCACAGCGATGGGCCCCGACGGGGGCCTGGCCGCCCGCTGGGGCCACCGAAGGGCCCGGCGACCTCAGCCCGCGGGGCTCTTTCCCCGGCGCCTGCGGGGACTCCCCGGAGAGCCGCGGCTGCCCCGGGCCCATGGCCAGGGGGCCCCGGCAGCGCCGTTCCAGCATGGGTTCTTCCTCTGCGGGCAGAAAGGCACAGTCACTCGGGGGGCTCCGCGCCCGGCCCCCGCCCCGCCTCGCCCCGCGCCTCCCGGGACCCCAGCGCCCTGGAACTAGACCCTCCGGGCCACTTCCTGCGGTCGCTGCAGTTGTCACTCGGGGCTCCTGTGCGACTTCCCTTTCCTCCGTGTCTCTGCGTCTCTACTGGCACTCTCAGGCCCCGCCGGGGGTCCCGCCGCCGGTGTTGGCCGAGCAAACATTCCCGCCTGGGGGCTCCCCTGCTCTCCCGACAGTGCTCAGCGTGGGCCCCCCTCCCCACCCCCTGCCCGCCTTCCCTATTTTCCTTCCCGAGGCCTCGGGGAAGAGCTGAGCTCCAACTGGGCAGAGGCGGCAGAGCTGCAGGGACATGCCCGAGGGGACACTGAAGGGGCAGAACCCGGCCTGGGGGAGGGGGGACTGGCACCCCTGCTCCGAGCACTCCAGGTTCCGGGAAGGTCTCCTGGGTAAGACTCTCGAGAGCATCTCATACCGGCAGCCTCTCTGGGTCACTAACCTAGTCAGGGTCGCCGGGGTGGGGGGCACCCCAGGCTCCCTAAATCCCTCTCAGGGTAGAAGAAGGAGTTTGGGAAAACAGCCCTTTGGGGGAGCAGAGGGGAGCATGAAGGTTCCCCTGCACAGGGCCTGTCCAGACACTCCCCACCTGTGCTCCATCCACACGCCACCGGGACATCCCGGAGTTGGTCGCCCAACTGGGGCAGCCCTAGCTCAGCCTCTCCCCAGGGATGGGGGTCACTGGGTCGGCGACCCCTGCCCATCAAGGGCTGCCCCACGCTGCGGGGGGGAGGGGACCAGCATCCAGCAGGAGGTGGGGGTGGTGGCAGGCCGACCCCAGAAGGACCCTCTCTGCCTGCCCACAAGCTCCCCGACACACCCCCAAGTCCAGGAGAGCTGTTGGGGAGCGCAGGGCTGGGGGATCCCTGACCCAAGAGAGGTGAGAAGGACGCGTCCCCCCGCTGGGGGCTGGCCGGGGAGGGGGCCACACTACCCTGGAGCCCGTGGGGCTGGAGACGAGGCCTTGTCCGGCGGCTCTCGGGGACACTCCGGTGGCTGCAGCGCCCGGTCCGGCCCACACTCTGGTAGCCCCCAGAAGTCAGCGAAAACTGCAGCAGGAAGGACACCCCTACCCCCATGGCAGAGCGCGGGCCTCGGGCTGCGGAGACGCGGGCCTTACCTGCGGGGAGGGGACAGGGGAGCGCGTGAGGAGGCGCCTGCTCCTCCCGACGTCAGCGGGGCGTCCCCGCAGCCCCGGCCCCGCACGGGGGCCTCGGTGGGCGCGGGGGCGGCCGCGCGCGCGCCCCCTGCAACGAGGACGCGCTGGCCGCGTGTGGGGGTCACTTCCTCCCCGGGTAAGGTCACGGGCACGGGGCCCCGAGCCGATGGCCTGTGGCCGCCTCCCTGGGACCCGGCTCCCCTGGCCTCCTGGGGACCCCAATTCCGGGACCCCCGTTTCCCGGGGCCGCGCCGGGGCGACGGGCATCGGGACTGGCTCTGGAGCCCCCGACGCAGCCCGGGAGGCCAAGGGTCGCGGGACCCTCCCCCCTAACCCTAACCCTCCCCCCGTTTCGCATCCGCGCGCGTCCCGTCCTCCCACATCCGCGCCCCCCGGACGGGCCCTCCAGGGGTCCCCCGCGCAGGTGCGCAGGTGCGCGGGCTCGTCCCCCACCGTGCGGGTCCGGGGGCGCCCCCCACCCCAACGCCCCGCGCCGGGCAGGGGGCGCCCCCCTCCCCCCACCCCGGCGCCCGGCCCGGGACGCACCTGTCCGGCGGGGGGCGCGGGGCCGCGGGGCGCGTCCATGAGGCCGCAGCGCCGCGGCGACAGCGGCAGGTTCGAGTTCAGGGCGCCAGGCCCGGCCCCGGCCCCCCCGGTTCCCAGCGCCACGTGACTACAGGAGCTGCCGAGGGTCAGTCGCGGGCTGGGGCCGGCGGCCGGAGGGCGGGGCGGGGCGCCGGGCCCGCGCGCGCGCTCGGGGCGACCTTCCCCCCCCCCGCCCCGCGCCCGCGCGCCCCGTTGCCATAGCGACCCGCCCCGCGCGCCGCGAGGACCAGCTCCCCGGCCCGACCCTTTGTGCGTCCGAGGATGCGCGGCCCCGGGCACTGCCTGGCCGCTGCGGGGACACCACTCGCTGGCCCCCGCGGGGCGCGGGCCCGGGGAGGGGCGACCCCCATGGGCCCACCTCGCGGTTGTGCGGGGTGCAGAGCTCCCGGGAGCTTGGCCAGGGGTTGTCCGGGCCGGCCCCGGGGCGGCCGCGCTGACTCACCGCCGAGCAGGTGGCCGCCGCTTGCCAAGGGGACGCTCCCGGCTGCACCCGCTGGACCGCGATGCTTTTCAACCGACTTTGGGGGGCGAGGGGGTAGCGGGCGTGCAGTGGAGTTTTTCAAAAGCTACTTGGAAAATTTGTTCTCTTGTAACTATCTCACGGTGATTCAATAAAATTTTTAAAAAATTTGTTTCCTAAGACATTGCATATATATATATATATATATTTTTTTTTTAATCTCGTGATTTTACCTTCTAGATCAATTGCATTTCGTATTTTGGTCCGTTGGCCTGTCTGCTCTCTGCTGGCTCTGTGGGTGTGTGACCTGATGGGGCGAATGTCTGCCAAAGCGTCAGCTGCCCTTCCCGTGGAATTTGTGGACAGGCTCCGATTTTGTTCTTCTCTCATAAAACTAATTCCTTCCCCCTTTCCCCCTTAACACACCCCCCAAAAAAGGGGTGTAGGGAGGTATTTCTAAATTGCCAAACTCAACTCTCATTTTTTTCAGACACCAGTCATTAAGGAAAAACAATCAGAAAATATTTTGGTTTTTGCCCGTATGGGCAAAAGGTTCGATTCCTCCGTCCCTCTAGGAGAGCCAAGCAAGCTATCAAGAGTATCCCGCCCGCACGGCAGAGCCTGGCAAGCTCCCCCTGGCGTATTCAATATGCCAAAAACAGTAACAACAAGTCTCACAATGGAGACGTTACTGGTGCCCGCTCGAGCAAATCGATGAACAAGGGGAGGACAGTGCTACAGTGCCCATCCCCAGTGATGCTCATCAGTCACTCCTGGGTCTGTGCTCAGGAATTACTCCTGGAAGTGCCTTGGGGATGATATGGGATGCCAGGGATCAAACCAGGCCACATGCAAGGCAAGCTCCCTATCTGCTCGCCCCACCAAAAATACATATATTTATAAAATCATGGAGCTTCAGAGATAGCCCAGCAGATAGGGTGCTTGCCTGGGATGCAGCCCACCTGGCTTCGTTCCCCAACATCCAACATGGTTTCCCAAGCACCACCAGGAGTGAGTCCTGAGTGCTGAGCCAGAACTGACCCCTAAGCCTCATTGAGTGTGACCCCAAAACAAAACAAACAGAAAAATGAACGAGTCTTCAGGGATAAACAAAACTCTAACCAGTCTGCTTCCTGACCCTTCTTGTCACCAGGAGGCTGACTGGACCCTTGCCAACCTCTCTCCACTTCCTCCGCCTCACCGCTATCTCCCTTCTTCCGCTCAAGACCGTTTAGTTCTATCATCAACGAATTCTGGTCAGTCTTCTTCTTTTTGCTGTTATCAACTTTATATCTTAATATTGCACTGTGTGCACACATACACACACACACACACGTGTGAAATAATCCAATTACCTTTCTTTCTCCTTCTTTGCATAGTAGAATTGCCTCCAGCTCAATCCATTTTGCTGTGGAGGAATAAAGGTCATTTTTTTAATAGCTGAACGATATCCCCACGTAAAAAGTATCTTCCTTATCCACCCACCTGCACGTGGGTACTTAAGTTGCTTCCATAGTTCAGTAAATAAAGTCTTAATGCACACTGGGGTGGATATAGTCCAAATACATTGTTCATGAATTTTCTGGGTTTTTTGTATCGTCCTAGATTCATCTTTCATTGCACATGTTTACATCCTAAAAATGGAGCAAAGGATATATTTAAATGTCTTCTAAATTATCTTCCAGGAAGATTGATTTTTCCTAGAGAAGTGGCCGCTTTCCCATAGCTTTTTATTTTTATTTTTTGCCCCCCCCCCCCGGCTGTGCTCAGAACCCACTCCTGACTGTGCATTCAGGGATCACTCCCGTTTCTTGACTTTTGGTTTGTTTTTCAAAACTTTCTTGGCTAGAATCACTCATTCTTCCAAAGGGACTTTAGGGTATCTTGCCGATACTTTTAAAATCTGCTGTACAGACTCTAGATTCCTACTGTCTGGTCAGGTCCTAGCCTACCCCCCAGAGTCGAATCTTCCATGTATAGATTATATATATATATATATATATATATATATATCTTGTGTATTTCTCCTATAATAAAATCCACAAATACTGAAATTACCTGTGTCTGAGCAAGGGGGCTCTGGGGTTCTGAAAACAAGGTCACCATAGACGAGAATGAAAATGTGTCAGATGTGGTGGAGACAGAAAATGGATTTTCCTCCTATTGGTGCCGTCAGGGGGTGCCCAGCTCGCTCTTGCCTGAGTACTTAAAACTAATAATCACAGGGGCTGGAGCGATAGCACAGCAGGGAGGGTGCTTGCCTTGCATATGACCGACCAGGTTTGATCCCCAGTTCCCCAATATGGTCCCCCGAACACTGCCAGGAGAGTGCAGAGCCAGGAGTAAGCCCTGAGCATCATTGGGTGTGACCCAAAAATACAGAAAAAAATTAAACTAATCATCATAGTTTGGGACGTGATGAACTCTTGACACGCAGATCTCAGCTACTCTTTCGTTGCTATTGTTTTGTTCGAGGGGGTCACACTCAGTGCTCAGGGCTTACTCCTGGCTCTACACTCAGGGATCACTCCTGTTGGGTTCCGGGAACCATATGGGGTGCCAGGGGTGGAAACCGGGTAGGCTGTGTACAAGTCAAATGCCCTTCCTGCTCTACCATCGCTCCTGCCTGAGGTCTCAACTACTCTCGCAGCCCTAGGAAGTGCCCCCCCCCCCCATAGGAATGAAGCACTCAAGGCTCAGAGAGGTCAGAAACTTAGGCAAGGCCACACAGCTTAGCACGGTCAGATCAGACTCACTCTAACACTAGAGAGCGTGTTTGTGTGTGTGTGTGTGTGTGTGTGTGTGTGTGTGTGTGTGTGTGCACATGTCTATTGGATGGCGAGTCAGGTGGTGAACCTAATGACTTCTGATGACTCCACCCCCACAAGCACCCCCAAGTGAATGTCTTCAGGGGCTCCCGGGCACCTGCAATCTCTGACCGGTCACGGAGGAGGAAAGACCCTCATCAGCAGTCAGTCATTCCTGCCCTTCCCAGCCCCACAGGCCAAATGCCCACCCAGGCTGGGCTGGCATCACTGTAGCTTCCTCAGGGGTGCCTCATCGCTCTGCAAAGAGAGGCAAAGGAGTGGTGTGAGCCCCAGGGTGCGTCCTTGGTGTCCTTGTCTGTCCTAGAGACGGGTATCTCTGGGCAGAGGGAAGCAGCCACTGGCCACGGGTGCAGGAGTTGGGCGTGGGCGGCCTTCGAGGCTCATAAGGCCCGAGGAGTGTCCGGCGGGTACCAGTCAGCTGAAGATGCTGGTGACCGATGTGCAAGGCCAGGACACCAGCTGCCAAGTCCGTCTTCAGCATCACAGCTCTGTAACTGACAGCCCTGTAGGCTCCATGGGCTGCAGCATAAACAGGAAACTCCAGGACTGGCCAGCCCCCCAAATGCCCCCTCCCTCCCCTCACCCTGCCACTTAGCTGTTCTCCCCCAAGGTATTTTTTCTGAGAAGAAAAACATTGTCAGTGAAACAAGAAGCCAGGGGAGACCCACCAAGGCTGGGGCCCGGCAGCTGGGTCTGACCCTCTGTCCCCTCTGCTCCCTCCTGGTCACCTCCTAATCGTTCCTTCCTTCCCTGCCTCTGGACCCCCTCCCGGTCTGAGCTGAGGAGCAGAGGTCACACTGCTCATTCCGGTGGACAACATTGAACCCTTTCACTCACCTGGGAGGTCCTGCCTGGCCTCAGCCCTCAGCCTTCACTCCCTCCTCCACCCCCTGCCGGCTTCTCCTCCCACGCAAGAGGCTCCCCCTGGAAGGTGCCTCCTTTGAATGAGGTTGTCTGCAGGGGTCGTCAACTCTGCCTCTCAGCATTGCCTCCCCAAACGTTCAGGCTGGCTTTCCCAAGAGACCCTGGGAGGCCTTTTCCAACGCCTGTGGCTTGGCGTGTGGATATCGGGGGCGGACCCAGGCGCTGGGAGCCTGGAGACGCCTTACCAGGGCCTGGAGGAATGTGATTAGTGCGATTTAGGGGCATTTCCAGAAATAATCTTTTTATCAGAGAAACCTGTCTAGGGCAGGGCAAACTTCCAGAGGCAAGGTTTTGTCCTCTGAAGTCCAACACACACACACACACACACACACACACACACACACACACACACACACACCCCACACCCACTGCCTGGTCCCACTCCAGCGTCATGCAAATCCCCCATGTGCATATAATTCAACGTGGTCTTTCTCACCTTCTGATCTGTTGGCTGTGAGCTTGTTTGCTCGGTCGGCCAGAGAGGAAGCCAGAGACCAGGAATGTTCCAGCACCCAGACGCTACGGTCACGCTCTTGGCATTGGGGAGCCAGATTCCACTTTCCTTCCAAGGTCCTGGTCCTTAGCGTCACTCACACGGGGGTCTGAACTTTCATCTCGGGGTAATTCCTCTCAGTAACGGTTCTGCTGGGCAGCTGGGGGCAGAGGGCAAGTGCCCAGAGAGGGCAGGACTGGTGAATTTTCCGGCAAGATACAGACACTCAGATCCTGCCAGCCTCCCCACTGCAGCCATGCAGCTGACACACAACATTTGTGTGGTGTGGGCGCTGATCCCTGTGGCCCAGCTGTTTGGGAAATGTTTTCCCAGGTGGAGGCCAGGTTACGACCACAGCAGGAAAAGGAGGCCAGGGAGAGAACACAGAGGGTAGGACGCTTGCCTTGCATGCGGTCAACCCCGGTTCGATCCCCAGCGTGTTATGTGGGGGTT